TAATTTATATTATATTATAATATAAAAATATAAATATTGACTAACCAGAATTATATTTTGAACGAGAATCATAACTAGTAGTTGAATATTTAAATCGACCTCCTCTAGATGAGGAATAACCTCCTCTGCTAGACATGTTTCCTCCTGTTGATCCACTATTCCATTCGTTTCCACTACCGCCACCTCTTCCTCTATAAGAACTGCCTCCCCGAGAATTAAATCCACGGCCTCGAGAACTCATACTAGAGCTAAAATAAAAAAAAAAAGGAAAATAAAAGAAAGAAAGAAATATGATGTAGTAAAATTTAAAGTATAACTTTCTTATAATTAATAACTATGTGTGTGTATATATATATATATAATATATTATTATTTTCTTAATAATAGTAATATAATTTGCTAATAAAAATATTAAAAATATAAAAATGAAAACCATATTTAAATATATTAATTTTGATATAGTATTTATTACATTTACTGCCTATTATAATTATTTAAGAATATATTAATAAAATTTATGAAAATTCATTATATTATATAATAATAATAATAATAATAATATGTATAATAATAAATAAAAATATACATATATTTGTAAAAAATATATATATAAAAAAAATGCAAAATCCAAATGGATTTAAATTTACATGTATATAATTTATTACCAACCTGTATTTATGGTAGCTATAACTACAACTTATAGATGGGTTATACATGTCAGATATGGTGTCAAAGATCTATAGACAAAACAGGAATGTTTATGTATCGCATTAAAATATTATACAAAATACATTCATGTGTAAATTTTTTTAATAGAAATTATTTAATTGTATGTATATATATACATTTATTGTTTTTATGCATAATGTAAAAAATTAATAAATTAATAATTAAAAATTAATAAATTAATAAAAATATTTCAAAAAAATTTGTTCATACATGTTTTTTATGTAGATAAGATTAACAATATTATGTAAAAATAAATATCAAATCATTATACATTTAAATTATTAAAATTATGAATTTTTTTAAAAAGATATATAAATTAACTATATTACTAAATTATAAAAGTTGTTTGCCAAATAAAATTATCATAAATTAAGCATATATGTACATATTATATTTCATCACACTCGCAATCGTGCATGGTTTTGGACAAAGTGCTTCGACAATTATTATACTGAATATATTATAATATCAAAACGATATATATATATATATATATAAAATAAAATATATTATTTTTACAAAATTAATATTATTTTCAATATAAAGATCAATAACTTATTTCTTTATTCTCCAAATTAATGGCCACACTCTGCGAGAATTTTAGAACCGTCATTTATCTAGGAAAATCTGTTCGTATAAACAAGATGATATTTACCTTTTTGAAGTACGTAAATTTTTCTTTATGAGATTTTAGCAACTAAAATTTTTATAATGAAATTTAAGTATTTGGCACAAAATTCTTCAGACATGCCGTGGACGCGCGATTCACATAAAATGTCGTCTTCCCTAAAGGCTGTGGCGTCACTCTTCTTCCAAATTCTAACGATCGTCCGGAATAAAGGAACAGAACCGGAAGTTAGTATCAATTTAATTCATATTCATGTTTTAATGATATTATGCGATTTATTTATTGAAAATAACTAATGAACATAAAATTTATAATTTTTAAATAGAATATATTGTTTTATATTATTCTAATTTTTAAAAATTAATTCTTTTGTCTTTCAATAGTATAATATATATATATATATATATATATATATATATATATATATTATATA